GGAAACGGAACTCAAATCTATGTGGAAAGAACTAATTTAATAATAAATAGACACACACATCGGAAAATTAAAAACTCGGATTTTTCGGCGCCGACGCCCATTTCCGATACAAAAAAAATAGTAGTCTCCCTTGTTTCATCGAAGTATCTACTATTAGTTAATAATAATAGGCAGTGTCTACACTTCCGCCGCACTATTTGTCCGGCGACCAAGTCACATGACCGCCATAAGAATACTTTATCGAGATATTCGTCCAGCGACCAAGTTACATGACCGCCGTAACCGAGTGGCGAGAGATATTTTGTACATAAGAGCGTCCCAAAAAAATGAAGTTTTGAAATGTTGATGTCTCACCCCACAGGATATGTCTGTATGGTAAGAGTAGTTAACCTGCAAAATTTCAGCTCATTTGGACAATGTTTAGAGGTCCCCCAAGAGGTTTAAAGTTCCAGATTTTGGTGTAAAATCATTCGCGGTCAAATCTAATACAGAGTTAATGTTGCATTATATGCTAAACTGATATATTAAGTAACAAATTGATGCTTAGTATTGTTTATAATATTAAATGAAACAAAATATATAAATCTTGAATGGTTTATATTTTTAAATTTGAAATTTAAGTAAAAAATTATGAAAAACAAAGTTTTATTCATTTTGTCAAGTTAATTCTTGAAAGAATGTCAATCTGCTTGAAAAATAATAATAAGCAATGCAATTAAGCATTCCTAATATTTATCTTGTACTTTGTACTGTAGGGTAGACAAAAATTTAAAAAAGTTCTTCAAATTTAAATTTTAGCCAGCTGTTCACAATTAGACTCTGCAAAATTTTTCCGATGTTTGTCAACCACTTGGAGCTAAAATTGTTTTTGTTCTTCGTCCTTGGTGATACTGTCATTGAAATTTTGTATCAATGCTACACCTCGCTCTGCAGAGTCATTGATACAAGCCAGATTCTTTACAAAATCTGCTGCAACTTTAAAATATGGTGTAGCTGACCATGCTTCAACAGGAACATCTAGAAAACTGGCATCAATTTTGGATGTTTCAAAAAATGTGGTAGAAGCACGCAAATCAACAACACCTTTTGGTAGTGTTTTTATGAGATGCGGTCCACGTTCTGATTGCATTGTCCGAACAAGGCCAGTTTTTTCTTTGTCCGACAAAAGGGTTGAAAATAACACAAGCGTCGACAGTTCCGGACTCAAGTACCACGAGTGACGCACCATCATTTTCAATCCAGTCGATCGAAGAACAGCATCATCATATTCGTATAAACGCTGTATCAACAAGATATCATTCACAGGTGCATCTGCGGTGAGCCTGCATGAAAACCATGATTGAAGATAAACACATATGGTAAACCGATTAAAGCGCTGAATACCTTGTAATTCTCGAGCTGTTAACTGAAAGATGGTTTCGTTGCCTGCAAACAATAGTTCGATTTTCAATGCATAGATTGCTTTCGCCATCCACCTTGCCCTATGTAGGGCACCAGGTCTGCGAATGCTGACATCAACCTCCAACCCAACCATTTGTGCAGCAAGCAGAAGAAATTCCAAATAATCATCACGTGAATGACTGACCTCAAGTTGACATTTGATAAATTCTTTAATCGAATCGGACACGATTATCAAAGGGGCGGATCTGGCTTCGGGTGTGTGGTTTAATTCTGGCCATTTTTCTCGAAACCTCTTAAAAAACAAAATCTCTGGTCCAGTGGATGGTCCAAGACAAACATTGAATGCATCGGAAAGGAGTACTTCCAACATGTGATGACGGCATGCCATCCATAATAGATTACGTCCCAGGGCTACTTCTAACAGAGTGCAAGCTCCATTGAGTCTTCCAGTATTGGAAGCCGTAGTGTCGAAGCACATGCCGATGACCATAGATTCGCACTTCCACGATTTGATATGTTCATATACTGCATCAGCAGCTGCCCGTCCTGACCCGGACCCGGATGCTAACTTGGGAACACCAAGAAGCTTTGTAGTGCCATCGACAAGTGATGAGAGCAGGACAGGTAATCGATCGACGTTGTTGGTAACCTCTCCGGTAACATCGGGCAATAGCTTACCATCCCAATGAACAATTGATTTTGAGGGAATATAGTCTTCTTTAATACGTGCTGCAGCTTGTTGATGACAAAGCTTGCGATGACGATGCATTGTGCTCTTGGAAAATACTGTGTCAGATGTCGGAACACCAGCTTCGTTGAATGCGGATGCAAGTATCATTGTAGATTTTCTAATGCTGGTGTTCGTTCTGTCCAGCACTGCATACAGATCTTTGATCTTCTGTAGGATTTTTCTGTTGGCCTAATACTGGAATTTTAAAAGCTCTTGGGGGACCTCTAAATGTTGTTCAAATGAGCTACAACTTCACCAATTCACTCATTGTACCCAAGAGACACATTTCAGGGGGTGAGACACCAAAGATTAAGTAAAAAAAATTTTCCGAGCATTTCTGGGACGCCCTATTGTACATCAGCCTTGCCACGTGACCGCGAATGATTCAAAACTATTGTTAATTTTAAAATCTATTTCTCTACCAAGAAATGTACTGATATCTTGCATGCAAATAATAGAAAAAAACGTAAGTGATAGTGGCTTGTACACATTTTTGTTTATTTTATTTGAGTTTGTGTACCAGTAATCCATAAAATAAATTGGGGGTCAGTATTCATTATGTGTAGGCAACCAATAAAAGTAAAAGATTTCATTTTAAATTGTTTAAATTGCTACAAAATATTTTTAAAATTCTCATAAAACTACTGTTGCTGATGAACATGATAATATAAATATAATATAAAATATTTTTTATTAAATTTGGGGAAAAATAAGGTTCCCACACTGGGAATGGTTCCTCAAATACATCGTCAAGCGGCCACTCTACCACAAGACCACACAAGATTTTATGTGCACTTCCTTTGGAATACTGACTACTAGTCGTCCAGCGGTCACGTGAAATGCCCGCCGGACGTATATCACGCGCACTATTTGTCAGGCGCGCCGGACGTGTAGACACTTCGTAGTTAATATGGTAGCGTTTGTTGTCCATGCTATTTTTTTTTTTTTTTTAATGTCTTTAAATGGTTCATAAATGACTTTTTATCATTTTCAATTTCTCTCAAGGATTTAGGCAAACTGTTCCACATTTTAGGTGCAACAGCTTTAAAAAAAAAGCACTTCGAATGACTTCTTTCTGTGTCCATCCACACTGGAAACTCTCATTAACGACTGTGTTTTAAATGTTCTTTTTACCAAGTCTAGCATCTATTATACATTATATTTAATATTGAGTCTATATAAGTGTAAGGGCCCGCGGGCCACATGTAGCGCGCCCCCCCTCCCCCCCCCCCCCCCCCCCCCTCCCCCCCTTCCGAAGTCACGAAATTTCTTCATTTCTTATTATTTTCTGTACTTTAATAGTAATAGTACTAATAGCTTTCCCCTCCTATTTTCTTTTGGTCTGCACAACTGGCACAAGTCCTGTCTTACTTTCTTTTGGTCCTTACAGGTATAAAAGTACGCAATCATCATAATTCATAGCTAGATATCTTTTAATTCATTTATAATTGCATTATTTTATATTACTTTTAAATTTAGAACTTAATGAATGATTTATGATTAGTCCTGAAAAGAAAAGTTGTCTAAAATTATTATTTAAACAATAGACTACTTGTTGCGCATAACATTATCAGCTGAATGTCCGAATGAAGTCACCAAATGTGGAGCCGCAGTCCATAATCATAATAAAAAAATACCAAACGAACCCGCACTTTAAAAATTTATAGCTCAAAAAGAACCATTGCTAGAATGTAGCTTCTGGTTTCATTTTTTAAATTTTGAAGTTGATTTATACAACTGTAATATTTTAATAACTTTTTTTTAATGCAGAAGTACCTAATGCCTTGCCTTACATTTTGAATAAATACGACTGCAGACCTGTTTACCCTCAAACTCTTAAAGTCGTAGAATATCATCCCAAAATCGTTCAATACGTTATATTTATAGTAAAAAAATAAACAGTATATACAACCTATACGCCTAAAAATCGTACATTGTACGCCAAAATCGTAAGAGTAAACAGGTTTGTGACTGACTTAAATACATGAAGGGACTGCTTTCAAGCTATGAATGAAATTTGTGACTGACTTGTATGATTTGTGTTTTTTTTTTTTTGATGGCTTTAGCTTGAATATATCTTAAGCTCTGGTTTTTTGGAATAAACAAGAGGCCCTTTGGACATCTAGCACATGTTTTTACTCCTTTTCCTGCCCCTGGTTATTTTTTGGTTGTTACAGCAGTCCATTGTTGGGCACTCATTTTATGACCTTGGGACCTTCTCTTCAGCTGGGTGTAGCTGAAAAAGTTGTCTACAACCTATTGGTCTCTCTCACAAACATTTAAATAATATTTAGTGTAAAAAATAAAAAAGAGCATAAATTACTCTACTGGGGTGCTTATGCCTTGAGTATTCAAAATTTAATATTCATAGGTGCTACATACAAGTATAAGCCATAACTTTTATTACATTGTAAAATAGATTTTTTTCCACTACAGCTGTAGCAAGGTTGATCAGACAGCTGTGCAGTTGACATCAGCCACCACTTATTTCTGATATATCTAGCAGTTCATTTCATGGGTGTCCTAAGGCCGGCCACAAAAAAACGGTGCTTGACATTTAATAGCTGGAATTTGATATGGTGTGCTACCTGCACATACCCCATCTACACTCTTTGTTGTTGATGTACATTCTTTATGAGGGTTTGTAGGCTGCAATGAATCTGCATTTATCAGGGAACACCTTATTGAGTATGGTGTTAAGTTTTAATCAAGGATGAGTTGAACCAGGTCCACAGCGTTTGTAATTATTATCCCAGGAATGCTGATTCTACCATGCAGTGCACATTTGAAATTTCTAGGTTCTTAAGCTTTTTATTTTAATATTACATGATATATATTATTATTTCTTACACTTTATTGTATCATTATAGCCCAGAAGAAATGCGAGCCATGTTTGGAAAGTATGGACCCATCACAGATGTCTACGTTCCTTTGGACTATTATACCAGACGTCCTCGTGGATTTGCCTATGTGCAATATCCTTATTATCCATGAAGAGTTCTGGTTATCAGACTAGTTGAATATATGCCCTCTTTGGTGGCACTCTTTTTATTACAGGAGTAGCATTATTTTTTTTTTATATAACTTGTTGGTATTTTCATTTGGCTGAACATGTGAAAAAAAATTTCACACACATTTTCTTGGGAAGTTAAAATTATTCAGTTGTTTTGCTAATATTTGAACAGTCAAGACTTCGAAAAATAAAAAAATTGGTTCATTTGCAAGGGTTATTAAAGTGAACTGCTTTCGTTGGTTAGTTCATATGAGGTCTTGGTGTCACTGAAACCGTTATCAGTAATTTTATTATTACTGATGCCTTTTCTTTTTTTATTGTCAGAATGCCAAGTGGTTTGAAAGTTAAAGCACAAGGCAAGCGATTCCATTGTTTAATACTGGTTCAATCAAGCCCACAAGACCAAGGTCTTTGCAAACAAGATCAAAGTCTTTGCCTATGGTCAAGTAGTTATATGGTCGGGATCAAGGGAAGGGAATAGTCTTAAAAGTAAAGAATTAAAGCAAGCAAGATTGCATAGTAACAAGCAAGTAAACAAGATACAGTGTTAACAAGTGGTAGGCAGTAACAGATTGGAAGCTTTCAAGCAAGACAAGCAAGGCATCTGTTTCATCTAATATCCTAAGGCTTTGTGAGTAAATATGTTGTTTCACAGAAGCAGTCTAGTCAGATATAAGGCAAAAAAAAAAAAAAAAGGAAAATGCAATAATCATAATGCAAATTTGCAAGCTTTTATAGTTTAATTAGACTGTTTGTATGGGATTAGATCGCAGGGTCAGTTGAGCATTAAACTTTCAAGCAAAACAAGCAAGGCATCTGTTTCATCTAATATCCTAAGGCTTTGTGAGTAAAAATGTTGTTTCAAAAAAGCAGTCTAGTCAAATAAAAGGCAAAAAAAAAAAAAAAAGGAAAATGCAATAATCATAATGCAAATTTGCAAGCTTTTATAGTTTAATTAGACTGTTTGTATGGGATTAGATCGCAGGGTCAGTTGAGCATATATACATAGTTTTTTTTCGTTTTTTTTTTCATTGTCCTGTTTTATGGTATTAACTTTTAATAAACTCAATTTGTCCTTGAATCTATCAGGCTTTTCAACATAAAGCTATGATGTTGGATTGTCATTGCATTCAATTAGCAGTTCTCGCTTCAGTTCAGGGTTTTGGTTTTGCATGCTTACCTCTTAAAAATTTGAAGTGTCATTCTAAACTGCAGATTGCATCAGTCCCAGCTTTTTATGGAAATTATATAGTTATGGAATAGTCAGATTAATTTTCTAGTTTTGGTCACTGTTTTACATGTTATGCCAAACGCAAACTCATATACTCATTAGGCTTTGGGCGTGGTTTTGATTGACTGGCTAAACATTGTTTATTTTTTTGTTTTATTACTTGCATTTTTGGGGTTTGGGAGGGTTGTGTATAATCCTTAACTAGCACACATTTGAAGATCCTCGGGATGCTGATGATGCACTGTACCATCTGGACAGGACACGATTTTATGGAAGAGAGTTGGAGATTGAGTTTGCAAGAGGTGATAGGAAATGTACGTATTTTATAATTGATTTAAGTCTTTTTTTTTTTTTTCTGTTATGGTAGTCAATGTTTTAAGTAAATTTACTGATATTAACGTAAGGATTTTTAGTAATGAGATTTTTAAATAAACGCTGTTTAAATGAATAGTGCCTTAGCAGTATAGATGAATTTGATGCAGAAATAGATACCGTAATAGAAATGAAAAGCATTTTATTCAAGAGTTCAATATCTGGATGTCCAGCTAGATGGGCATGACAATGATAGTTCTGACTGGGCTGAACAATTATTTGACTTTGAAAAATGTGTAGCTGGAGCATATGATTACTTTGATTTAATCATCCCTGAGACGTGCTATGAAGTATTGGCATTGCAGACTAATATGCATATAGAACAAAGACATACTATCACTGTTGAAAGACATCATGCTAGATTACATACAAAAATAAACAATGGTGCAAATTGTTCAAATGACAAGCAAAAGATGGCAACTGAATTATTTTGAATGTGATTTTTATTCATCATAAACATTTAGCATTTGTTAAAATTTTATACTGGTATCACATAAATAATTAAAAGTGTTTTGATTAATAGTTTAAAAGAATGGAGATATTTCCCTTTTCCTAGTGCGGTACCGTACTTAATTCCTATTCTACTGAAAGAGCTAATAACAAAAGATATTAAAAACATTTAGAATTCTACACATATCTAGTATCTAGCTTTTGAGAAAAGTAAATTTTTAGCCAAGCTCTATGGCAGGCCTGCACAACATACTTTGCGGCCTGTGAAGTAACGAAATATTCTTTATTATTATTATTATTATTATTCTTAAACCCCCCCCCCCCCCCCCCTATATAATCTTTCGGCCCCAAGTTTTTGATAAAGTATTACAGCCCGCCTTACATTTTGAGTTGTGCAGGCTTGCTGTGGGAGTTATTTTGCTAGTTGCCTGGATGAACTAACGGAATAGACGTGCTGCAGTTTAAGCTAAAGGGGGTATTGGCTTCTAAATTGGTTAAAATTGTTGTGTAGGATACTTTGCATAAAGTTCTGGCAAAGTGTCTTTTTGATTTCCATTTTGATAAGTTTCAGTCCGCAGCTCTTTTTTTTTTAAAATGTAATCTCTCAGAATAAATCTTTGTTTTCCTATAAATATGATTTCAAAATAATCCTCATTTTGGTATTTTTCAGCACCTGGTCAAATGAGAGGTAAAGAAAGGAGCTCACGGCGATCTCCTTATTCAAGATATGATGATTATGATCGCAGACGCAATCGTTCAAGGAGTCGCAGTCCACGGTAAGATAATTTTGCGATTTTTTTTACTCATAGCCCCTTTAGATACATTGTCCATTAATGTTTTGAGTACTTGCTATCTATTTTTTCAGGTGTGCTAGCCGATGACCACTAATGTTAGTGCTTGTTTCAGTTTCAGAACTAAGATGACAAATCTGGTAAATTTATTTGCATTAAAATTGTTTCAGGTACAGATCTTATTCGAGAAGCCCATATTCCAGTAGGTGAGTGTAAAGGAGTGGATAATCTTTCTGCCAAGTTCTCATTCTTGCTGATTTTATCCGATTGTTGGCAGCACCAACTGTGTCCATTATATTTTACTGTGTTCCCATGTCATTTTGATGAAGGTTATGTTTAAACTTTTATCGTCTTGTTATATGCTTTAATTTGTACATTTTGTTGGGGTGTTATTTTTACAATTTTCTAGTTATATTCTTGTGTTTTCAGTAATGCTAAGGCATTTAATTATGATTCAGATGTTAAGCATTTTGACAAACTATTATTACATAATTTTTATATTTTTTCATAACAATTTCAGAAACCGTTCACATTCAAGAAGTCCATACAAAAGTAGCAGGTGAGTATGTGGCATAAGAATTAGGGTTATTATTGATTTTAGTAATGCAGATAATAGTTTTATTGCCCATTCATTTATAAGCCAAGTTTTTGCGGTAAAAGCCTGAAAAGTTGATGTCAGCAATACAGTACTCGCCAATGTCTATCTAGGATGATATTATGTTCGTGTTAAAACAACTTTATCTTTGTTTTTATTCTATGTAGTTAAAATGGCATCAATTAAAAAATGTTGGAAAAAAGTGTAACACCTGACATTTTAAAATATCATTTAGTTAACCCTTTACAGTCTGATGCGCCCATTTATTCCATAAGCCTACAGCCCATTGCGGCAAAACCCGCCCGTTTCGAGGTTGTTTACTTTCGTTCTTAGCATAGCGGAAATCCATTGCGCTTTACTATTTATAGTTCTACCGGAAGAAAGCCTTGTTTTTGGCATTTTTTTAATAATAGTTTGAATGTGGTGGGGTTAGGGGCTCATTTTCTACGATATTTTGAAAAGATGTTTTTTTTTTTCCACTTTAAATGGCTTTCCAGGCAATCGATAAAATTTTGAAAAAGCTTAGGCCTAATAAAGCTTCATTATTTCATGATTTTAGCAGTGATTATGAAGAATTGGATAGAGACATTAATTTAAATGACACTACTAGTGATTTTGATTCAAGTGGATAAGATAATAGTAGTGAAATCGATGAAAATGGACCTATAATCAATTCCACTACAATTACAAATAATCACAAAGATCAGGAATGGTCTGCGAATTTTTCAAGCATCCAACTGTTCCCATTCATAGAGCAATCGGGCCCTAAGCATAATTTGCCTGAGGATGCAGTTGCATATGATTTGTATAGAAAGACCTGTTGAAAGTCAAATTTCTAATTGGTATTTTCTCATTTGTAATCTAAAAAATTAAAATTCTTTTTTTTTTTTTGTCAAGATGTAACTTTTCTATACCCAGTTTGCTCCAGTGAGATCAAGAAGTTTTTTTATATAAATATGTTTGGGATCCATGACAAGCCTGAAGTTGACTCATACTGGTCTCTAGACCAAAGACTTAAAGTTCTAGCCGTAGCTGACATTATGGGTAAAAACCGATATAAGAAAATAAGTCAATATTTGCATCTAAATGATAACAAAGCTATTGCTAAGGGGCAGCCAGGCTATGATCCTCTATTTAAAATTAGACCCCTTCTGGACATTATAACAAAAAACGGTCAGGAAAAATTATTACCCAGGAAAGGAACTGAGCATTGATGAGGCTATGATAAGCTTCAATGGGAGATTGTTTTCAAACAATGCATAAAAGCCAAACCAACTCCATGGGGCATCAAAGTTTGGTGCATTGCTGACCCCCGCAATGGGTATATGTGTAATTTTAAATTTAACACCGGCAAAGTAAATGACCCAATGGCATAGGCCACCACGTCTTCTTTACTGTGGGAGGACCATATTTAGAAAAGGGTCACCATTTTTACTTTGACAATTACTTTTCAAGTGTCAAACTTGCCGAGGATTTGCTGACTGAACGCTCATTCTTGTGCAACAATATGCACCAACGGGGAGGGGTGACCACTACGCGCAGAAAAGATGAAAGGTGGGGATGTATGCTGTTTGCAGAGAGGCAGGCTACTGGCAACGACTTAGTGTGACAAGTGTCCATTTTGTGCACAAATACACAGAGTGGTGTCGAAACAGTGAGTAGGAGAACTAAGGAAAGGTACAGAGATGTTGCTATTCCTCACCCTATCCTCACCTACAACAGGCATATGGGTGGTGTGGATTTGGCTAACCAGTACAGATCCTACTACCTTGTAATCCAAAAAATTGTGGAGGTATGGTCTTTGGTTTCTAATATAAGTAGGAATTATTAACACCTTCACTATTATGAAGGAGACCATGAAACCCTCCACTCCCAAAATAAAAGGAAATAATCCAGCCTCCAATCATCTCCAGTTCTGCCTAGACTTACTATCAGTATTGGTAGGCTCTTTAGCTCATCAGCAGCTAAGGAGAAACACTGACATAGTTTCTGTTGCAGCAATAGCGCAGCCATCGTCCTCTAAGCATGAGACTTTCTGGAGAAAAAAGTTGTGCCACTTCTGCAGCAAGACCAGTAAAAAAAGCAACAGTAGGAGGGCCCCCAGAAACTGCTATTTTTGCAAATTTCATCTGTGCAAGGGTGCCTGCTTTGCAGAGTTTCACCAGAGACTGGAAAATAGAATATAATTTGATTGACAGAGGACAACATGCAGAATATTATTTTTTCCTGGATTTTTTAATAACAAAACTGTTTTGATTTCACCTTGTCAATTTCACCAACAATATAGTATGTCCATTTATCTGTATTTAGGTATTTTTAATTTAATTTTATTGCTTTTAGTTTATTTTCTGTAAATTAATTAGATAAAGAACCTTGATTTAAAATAGTTATGTCCCTTTGCTTGGTCGCAGGGAGTAGAAAAGCTTGGACTGTAAAGGGCTAAAAGCAGTTGTTTATTACTATTTAAAGCTTCTAGTAATGTATTTGAATCTTAGAGTGGAGTCTACCGTAGACTGGTCCTCAGTGATTATAACATTTACTCCATTCCATCTGTGCTTATCGTTTCAGCGTTTTAAATGGTTTTTTAAAAGTTTTCTTTCGAGTGTTATGTGTTTAATCAGAGTTGACTGACAATCTTGTGTTTTTAATCATTCGTCTAATGGTAAAGACTTCAAACTTATTCTTATTAGTCTTTAGTGTGATGTTAGCTAACATTAGTGTGGTAAGATTAATTTGAGTTCAAGAGTGTACGTTAACATTTTTTAATATACTATACATGCTTTAAGTGGCTACATACACATGTTGTTATTGTGGAATCATAGTTTTATTAGTTTAAGTTGATAATTACATGTTTTGAAAAAGATTTTGAGTGTCTTCAGTATACTCTCTACAGCTTGTATACTAGGCTATATACGAGTACGGGTACTTAAATCTCCATGTTTTCACCCATTTTGCTGTCCATAAAGTTTTCAGCCGGCTTTTTCAGAATCAGAATATGATAGAGATATATATGCTTTCTATATGTCAAATGAAATATCAATATGGTGGTAAAAATATTCCAATTTCTTGAATAAACGCTGAGCCACAAACGTTCAAGATCAAAACTGATGTTTTTTATTTAAAAAATTGTTTAAAATAAAATTTTCAAGCACATGTTAAAACAAAAAAGCAGTTGCAAGATAAAGACTTCAACCCTATTCTTATTAAAATTTTATGCTTGTAACAGTGCTAGAAGTTTGTTAATTATTTAAACACATTTTTTTCTTCAATTTGGACTACCTAATTACATTGATTGTTGAAGCTAATCTAAGGTGTCAAAGTTAACTTTTGAAAATTTGGCATATTTATTTTTTATAGAGATAACTTCATTTCATTCATGTTTATAATCATTCTACTTATTGTGCCATATGTTAGTCAGCTTACATTTTAGTTATGGTAGCTCAAAACATTTCTTTCTTTTTTTTCCCCAGACGAAGCCGTACCAGGAGCCGAACACCAAAACGAGACAGGTAAACAAAGTTTAAAACTTAATCGTGAACCAGTAACAGAAACATTGCAAATCCCATCTACATGCATAGGAGCCAAAATGATCAATAAATTGATCGTGGGCCCTTAAGATATAGAAGAAGAAGAAGAGATTGTACTGCGTAATATTTATAAGTCCTTTCAGTAATCTCATCATGAGAGGTCCGTTTTTAAAAATGTTTTATGATAATCTTTTAGCAAAGATTTTATTTACCTTTATTTTTTATTTACCTCAAAGGCAATAAGTTAACATTCAGATGATAGATCAATTAATTTTTACACATTAGAAAACAGGTTTTAACTCGGATGCTCACTTTGAGAATGAGAGCTGTCCCTTGTCTTTTGAGAAAACATTAAATCCCTTTCAGGGGTGTATTGCTTATTAAGAAATTACTTTCAGTACCAAGCAAAGAGTAAAAGAGAAATAGTTCTATTTTGAGTATAAGCTACTGACTTAAAAAATAAAAATCAATCTTTCATTCAGTTGTAAATTATTAATTTTTACTGATAATTTAAGGGAAAATGTGAAGTTGTGATTAGAATAAATCTACATTAGTAACAGATACACCTGAGAAGTTTTCTATGTCAATTGAATGCTCTTGGTTAGACCAGTCAGATCTATCATCGTTTTTATCTTCTGACCCATCTGGGAATTCAAATTATGTAATCACTTTTATTTATATTATAATTCTGCACCTGCTTCTGCATTAATTTCAACACATACAACCAACATTCTTGCAGTTTGAAGCGATCTAGAAGGGCATACCCCATTAAGCTAAGATCTTCTTCGTCAAGGAAGCACTAGTTTCAAAATCAAAATTGCCTTAAGTCTAGTCAAATCAAGCATACATCCGCCAAACTCTTAAGGAAACAGAGCTTGGCAGTGCCTGTTTATAAATAGGTTCTTTTTAACTTTGTAATAAGAAGGTTGCCTCCAATGGACAATGTTGTTTACTGCGGGATTGGTCAAATTTTATTATAGATAAGTCGCAAAACAAGTTGTTAAATCATTGTTTTCATTTAAATCCATTTAATACAATTCCAATAAAGGAATTCTGTGTTGATTTTGCAATCTAGAGGAGGGGGGGGGGGGGCGCCTCTCCAGCGTCAGACATTATTGCGGTCTTAAAAATTGAGCGACTTTTACACCTCATTAGTAACAAAGCAAGCCCTGAAAAAAGCACACAAACATTAAGTTAATTTATATTTCCCCTTTACTAATGTACATTAAATAATTCCCATTTTTAATGACTATTTTGCTAGCGGCTGCCAATTATATCTGCATTGACACCACAAAAGGGATTTAACAGCAGATAATGACAGTTACAGGGTTACATCAATGGACTGAGAAATTACTGTTAACCTGCGTTTGATAATAAATTCCCTTTGTTTTTTAATTACAGGAGAACATACAGCCGTTCAAGGAGTCGATCTGCATCTTATGATAGAAAAAAGGAAAATGGGTATGTTAAGTACGTATACAAAAATCATTCTTAGATTTTAATTTTTTGGGAGCTTAAAAATAAAATCATTTTTCTAAGTTTGAAGTGATTTTAACAGAATTTTTTAAATGCCATTGTAATTGAAATGGTCATTAGGTCATTAATTAAATCAAATTTGAATCGGCAGTTCTCGAAGTCGTTCAAAGACAAGATCACCCGCAAAGTCTGACAAAGAGGAGAGAGAAGAGTCACCCACAGAATAATTTGTTCACAAAAGATTTTAATTCATTTTCTCATATTCATATGTATGTTTAACTATAACCTTAACTCATTTCAATGGTTTTTATTTTTACGATTGTCATCTTACTTCATGTTTCACCTTGAATTGTTAGGAGCCATTTGAAAGATTTCAAGTTTCCAAAATATATTCACCCAACTAAAGTCAGTCAGTTTGATTTGTAAAACTGTTCTATATTTCAGTTTGTATCTGGCTCGATCCTAAAGATTTGAAGTTGAATCATGGTTTTAAGTCTGCTTCAAATGAAGGACAAGATAGTAATGATAGCTAAAAATGTTTTTTTATTTTGTATAGAAAAGTTACATCTTGACCAAAAAAAAAGAATTTTAATTTTTAAGATTACAAATGAGAAAATACCAATTAGAAATTTGACTTTCAACAGGTCTTTCTATACAAACACTTTGACTTAAAACACAACTTAATTGTAATGTAACAAAGTTGCATTTTGATTTTGTAAACCATGCAAAAGTAAATAAAGTGTTTCCTCAATTTTTGTTTCATTCAAATGGTAATTGTTTCAAAACATGTGTACATTAAAAATATTGCTGCCAAAACAGTGTTTGAGTTTGAACAAAGTTAAATTATTACAATAATTAAACTTAAACATGTACAAAGGGTCAAGTCACCTTTCAATCCTTGAAAATTTCTTAAAGGAAAAAAAAATCCCATTTGTTAAAGCAAGAATGGTTTACACAACAAAGACATTACAACAAAGACATTATCATTATGTACACTATTTTTGTATCCAACAGTAAATTAGAATGCCCTAATCAAAAGTTCTACACTTATGATGTTAATTCTGCATTAGCTGTCATCCATATATTGTGTATGTGCACATAGGAATCTTCCCTAACTATAATGGCACAATTTTATGGTACCTCATTTGATATTATCAGAAATCTGCACTTCCTAGCACCAGCAATATGAGTATTTGCTATGCACTAAACCAATCTTTAAAGCCTATTTACAGTTTTAGGGGGTACTAATGTTCTTTTGTTCGAGTAATATTAGCGTGTCTCAGAAGTAGTGACATAACTTATCTTTGTTTGGCCAGGCTATAACTTAACCTCTTGGAGTTGATCAGTTTCCTGCATTTTAAATTTTAACACAGTAATCTGAATAGTTTTCCATCTCCAATCTCACATATGCTTCAAAAAGGGATCCCTACCCCCATTGGTTGCTGAGTACAAGTATGACTCATAGTATGAGGTTAATTTTTTCTAGGTCCTATTTTTTTTCCACACTTTACTGATAGTACACTGATAGTAAATATTTATATACCTAATACCATACAAATACACTTTAGTCTTGCATCTATCTGTACAAATACAACACTTTAGTCTTGCATCTATCTGTACAAATACAATATGTATTTATAAATCTCATGCAATAGTTGCTTATAAATTAATTTAATGCAGTTGACAGGACAAAACATTTTATATAAATATAACCCACAGATTGTGCCAATACATATGTTAAGCAACCCTTCTATTGTAATACAGTTTAAGTGATGTCTCCATCTTCTGAGTTCATTGGTTTTGAAATATGTAATTGCATAGCTTTTATTATAAAATAAGACTAAGTGGTTTGTAATAAATATTGTGATACTGGTAATAAAAGAAGGAATTTATTTTAAATTGTAACCTATTATTTTCAGTTAATTTATATATGCTGGTAGTCAGAAGAAATTAACTTTTCTTGAACTTCTTTGGGTTTTTGTTTAATAAAAATTTTTATTAAACAGATCCACAGATAATAAGTTTTAAGTTTGAGGCTCTTACGCTTACTGCTTACTCACTGTAGACTTTTTGGCTGAAACTGAAAACATTTTCATTCCATATTCTTGATTCATATGCAACTAGAAGTACCTTAACTTACATAAACAGAATTGAAGTTATAGCAGATGTTTGCTAATAAAAATGACTAGATTATTTTTACCCAATTTCAATTTATGTAGACTTTAGAATCTTTTATTAGTTTATTTAGTTTCTTCTATTAGTTTATTTAGTTTCTTCTAAGGCATATTGTTAATCCAAAACAAAGTACACAGTTGTCTGTTTTCACATTTGAGTAAATCGTTAATCAACAGGCATTCCTTATAACTCCTACTCTTGCTTAATATCTGCCTCAGTTAGTGGTGTATTTGTGGTTGGCGTGTTGCTTACTGTTGATGGTTGAGCATTATTTTTGTCTCCGCCCCAAGGACTTTGTTGAACAGCTGGGGAGTTGTGAAACTTGTCACCATTGTCATCATTATTAGAAGGTTCAAACTGTGAATTTTCAAGCCGAGTGATTAGACGCTCATCCTCATCTCCGAATTCACCACCCATTAAAGTAGGTTCACCTACAACCATCACATCCTAGAAAGTATAAAATAGCATTACTTGAAAGATCAAAGAAATAGATATGGTCCAGAGCAGGGGTGGGTAACCTATGCACTGCAAGACTTTCTACAAACTTGATTGTTTCACTACCTGAACCTGCACAAGGTAGCTTGTAATAGTAACTAATTATCAGATGATTTCAGTTAGTCATACCCGTAGCTCAAATATGGATATAGATGAAACTAGAATTATCTGACTTAATAAATCACTTCACCATAATTAATTTTAATGTATTATTATAAATTATAATGATTAAGGTCACCTACCCTTTGAAAGTGTAAATTTTCATATGAATACAAATTATGTATTAAGTGATGGTTTATGCTACTCATTCTAAAAATCATTTGAATCCATGCTTTTTACCATTGCTTAAATCAACTTACACCAGGCACTGTAGATCCTAAATTGAAGCCTTGAGGTCCTGGAGATCGTTTTTGTTTTCCAGAAGGTGGGGCATCACGATTATTCATATTTCCAGCCCCAGCATTATTGCTTGCAGAGCCTTTTCGTTTTCTCCTTTTACTTGGAGGACGGGCAGATTCTGAAATATAAATAATAATTCTAGTTGATAACCATCATGCAAAGAACAGCTTAATGTTGATATTTCAAGTGAGAATTTAACAGTCAATATGATTCCTCTTAAAAAGTATTTATTATAATCCTTAGAAAATTATATCAGATTTGAATTACTTAAATAAAACAGAAAACAAATGGATCATGAAAGGTTAAATTTATAAATAATACTGTCAGAATAAGGAAAGGAAAAAAAAAAAGTTACAATTAAAATTTATCAGTCAGTTTGTTACCCACTAAAAATTAAACATTTCACAACAAACAATATCATGATGACACCAAGTTACAGAGATCACAATAATGAAGAATAAATAAACAAAAAGTAAGATTATTGTTTTGACAAGGCTGAAGTAAAGTCATCCTCTTCAGCTCATTTCAAGTTAAGGGTATAAAATATTTCCCTCTTCAGGATAAGAGGTGGCATCTTTATCTCTACTGAGCAATACATGGTTTTAAGGATAATGGCAAGTGAAGACAATAAATTGAAAGTTGTGCAACCTCTCTCCAAGGGCAGGTCACCAACTCGTGCTGCCACTTGTTCTAGGGCACTTGTGGATGTCAACAGTGTAGGGTGAAGCTTCTCTGGATTGATGAAATCACTTGTCATTAAACTTTGCCAATATTCAAGGCTACGGAAAATACTAGTGACTTTTGGCTCTGAGCCAACACTTGACAAAATATACAATTTTAAGTTAGCTAGTATGCATCCAACATTGGAATAACGGTACCAGAAACAATAGTGTTATGTTGCAGGTATTTTATTTCAACCCTTCAACCAATAAAGTGTGGCATTCTTATAATGCATAGTATATTCCAGCACTCACAGCGTTTGTAGCTTTAAATAGCCAAAATATATACACAAGTTTCACTAAAGTCTTTTTAATTCAAATGAAGTCATTACGGTAAATTTAACTTTTGATGTTTCTGAAACAAAAAAATGAAGGCAGCAAAATACTGTTATAAAATATTTTTTAAAGAAAAAAAAAACTTTCCCAATATTCATGCACATGCACAGGTTTTTAATGTGGAAAATAAAACAATACAATACCGGTACAACATTAGGATAGGTATATGAACTAAACTGACATAAATCTTTCTAAAACTGTTGGGCTTATAACAAATGTCAATTTTAGTTATTAAAAAGTGTTTGTAAGATGGATTGAATTATTTATTGAAAATTATTGAATAGATATTACTAGCAGTTCCGTCCCCTGCTGTTTCATGGTTAATATACAACAGGCAATTAAAAATCTTCAAAGGTAAAAGGAAGTTTACTTTTTAAAACGAAAAAAAGGTTTAAGCAACTTATATTTATAGGAGGAGAAACTTTTAAGATTTTACATTTAAGCCCATTTGTAAATATGAAAAAAAAGTGTTACAATTATTTACTGAATTAAATATGTAAAAGTCATTTTAGCTTTACAAATAATTTTAAAAAAAAAATATTAACATTTTGGGGACTGAAATTGCATTTTAACTGACCAACGAATGACCTGATATAATGTGTTGTAATTTAAAAATAAAATAATACATCCCAGTAACAAAATGAACTGACAAACAAAAAGAATGGGGAGAATACTTAAATTTGGGACGATGCTTGCCTTTACCTGGCGGCGCCACCATTCGCTGCCATTTTTGAAAGAGTGTTGTTTTAAGACAGTCACGTGGGTTTAGGCCATATGCTTTATGTCTGGACATCAATTCCTGCATTGGTTCTAGGATTACACATAACTGTAAAGAAACAAGAGAAGCATAAACAAAATGGAAAGCACACACACATCTCTTCATATAGATAACTCTGCATTTACCGGTACGATAATCACTAAACTTACTTCAGTTCCACTTTATGTAATTTCAAAATAAATTTTCTCATTAAACATTGGAAGGATGGTTATTCGTAAAAAAAAATATAATTAAGAGTTCAATTCAAAGCCTTTTAAAATAATAGTTTTTCCTGTTATTGTTATTTTGCATAACAAAATTGAAAAAGTACAGTCCTTATAACTACACAACTCACCCGAAGAAAATTCAGAGTATAGTTGGTCAAACCCATTCTGGTAATATTTTTAGAAAGTTGTTCAACCATAGTTGGATCTTGCTAAAAAATAAAATAAAACCAATATGTTTCAATTAGTTTATTTTTTCAGAAAATAATTTACTTAAATTTTTAGCATGTTGATCATTAAAATTAAAAAAAAAAAAAAAAAAAGTTTAATAAATTCATAATTATAGGTCATAAACATAAAAAGTATAAGTACCAACCTGCATGCCAATAACACTACGAGGAATGAGTTCTCTATGCTGCCGTATAGCAAAGTGCCATGAACGAATCCTCATCAAATCGTCAAAAGTGAACTCTAGGATAAGTCTACCTTCTGTGATTACCTGCTGACACAAATATCATTTTTATTTCTCCTAACACAAGCTTCTAAAATAATGAATTATTTATTTCAATTAAATTAACAATCCACTGGGACTTACACAATGGGGTGATTTGTCTGTCTGATTTCAATCTAGAAAACCAAAAGTTTTTTAAAAATCTACAAGGTCATTAGTAAGGATCGGCATACATATTGATCCAAGGTACATAAATTGCATTTTTTCATGTCTCTCGTTACTTTCTTGGCCATTCTCGTTACATTTTTCTTTAACTTTATCCATTTCTGGATTCATTAGTTCATCTAGTGACTTGTCCTTTGAAAATTTTTTTTTTACAATATTATGATTTTTAGTAAATAAATTAAGAAAAAAAAACTTGCTAAGTTGTAAATTGTAAAGCTTTCAATTTCCACATCCTGTGATATAAAGTTATATCAAGTAAAAATTTGCACTCAACTGTTTTCAATCCGATTTCAGTACACATTTTTATTTTCATTAGGTTTCAGAGTATGTTATAGTTTTTCAGGATAATAGGGTTTACCCTGGAGGTATTTTTGTTCTCAGCTTAACTGATTAACTGCCAGATTGAAAAACCCTCTGTGGTTGAATTAAATCTAGGTCACATTTTCTCATTTTAGGTGTATGTACAAATTCAGCTGCAGTTTTCTTCATTATGTGCCAACTTATGCATAAATTTTAAATTTCCAAATCATTTAAAGCATTTTATTTGGTGGTTTCCAAATAGTATATCCAATAAGAAATATGCACCAAAGAACAAAGATATTGACTAATATTTACACTTAAAATAACTTATATCCTTTAGTAACCCTCTCACTTGTTGCCACGGTAAAAAAGTAGTAAAATTTTGTAACTAGCTTGGAAATTGAGTAAAGATTAATTGAGCTTGTTTTTTTAAAACATTCTGGCCATAGCATGCGGTTCGAATATAAACATCCTGTCAGTAAATTAAAATCTCGAAGCAAAACGGGAACGGAATAATATAAATATTTGACTCGATTTACTACGATACCAACATTGGTGCTACCAGTGGCTTGTGGCCATAATGAAAGAAACGCCGAGCCGGTCCCACAGGTTCATGTAGTTAAACCAGTTAAACTGAAATTGTTTGGCCAATGATACTGAAAATTCCTCATAATGTTAGCGATTTCCGTATCACAAATTTTCTTGTGCAAACAAAAAACTACAGAAAAACACTGCTATGAAGAAGTTAAATAAGCAAAACATAAAATGGGCTGCAGTGGACTTTCTAAAGTAAAATATTAAGAAATGGTAAGATGTAAACAAAATATAGCACCTACATTAGTGAACATAGGTTTCCCATGCTGTGTAACCATAAGTGCATGGTCACAATCCAAAGTAATTGTTGTATTGTGAAAGGATTCTTTGGGATATTTCAGAACATAATGTAAGTCTGTCACTCCTCCTTCAAATATGCTTCTGAAGTATCTAGGTATCAATGTCCTTCCAATAGCTGCAATGACAAAATATTAGAAATAAAAAGATCAGAAAACATCGCATAATTCTACTGTCAGAAACATGCTGAAACAAAAGACATTTGACCAAACATAATCAGACATCAACATGTTATTATTTTTTTAAAGATAAACAACTTTCGTGACTTTTGTTTACCCGTATTTTTTCATTGGGTGTCTCATTGGTGATCTTGTTTTCATGACACTTCCTGACCTTGTCGAGTAGGGTTGCACAACTTATCAAACTGGCTCAAGGATTAATTGGCTGATGCGAAATTAATTAACCGATTAATCAGTTGCCAAATATTTATTTATTTAACTTCAAAATGTAAAAGTCTTTTCCAATTATATGTTTGGGGTATTTCATATGTTTTCATAATTTTATTTTGTCCTACTATTTTGGAAGGGGGGGGGGGGGGGGGGGGGGCGTGTTAAGACTAAACCATTTTTATGACTATAAACATGTCAAGATATACTAGCAAGCACTACTCTGTCACCCAAACATTTGAATCATGATCTTGAGTGGGAAAGTTATATAACTTATTGTATATTTTAACCTACAACTTTATATCTCAAGGCCTAAACAATTTGCAAAATTTAAATTCAATTTTCCTGGTGGTAGCAATGGTGCGGTACATAAAACCTACAGAGGTTAGAGGTAACACTAGTCCTTTCCCTATTCACTATGTTGCTGATACAGTATCTCAAACATGGAGATGTGGCCAATATGTCTTTGAATTTGAGATAAACTCTTGGCCCCACCCTAAAAAAACTAACTAAAAAAACACTAAGAAAATAATAAAATTGATTTTTTTTTTGAGTGTCCTGCACAATCTAGTTTAAGCATTCATTATTTAAATCTAAATATATCAGACTACTATTGTGAGCAATCTATGCCTGTGCAGTAGTGTAGATTATCACTTTATGTAGCCAAAGGATTCTAATTGAATTTAGACAAAACTTATATATTTTCATTTATAGTAATTTTTAAAAATATTTTCTCCACAGACTTTCTTTGCGTGATGCATTTTATGAGATTTGAAACTATTTTCTACTTTTTAATTTAATTCATTTAAGCTCATCTTTGATAGAATGTCTCTTTTTTTTTAAATTTTACAATACATGTTTTTATTATGAAAGTATTTTAGAATTCATTTTTGTTTCATAGCAAAATAACAGTAAATGAGTTCCCAAGTAAAAAAAAAAATGTGTTTACAAGTTTAGTTATTCCTGCTAGTGACATTTTATGTCCTGAATTGTCCAGATCCAATTATTTAGAATTATGGTTTTTATAAAATGTTTATAATTAAATTATTTGAAAATTAATATTTAAATTATATAATGTGGACTATTTACAATTATTGTTATGCGTATTGGAAAGTATTTGTTATTCTATCAGTAATTATTTCTGAAGTGATTGCATTATAGAAATAATCATGTTAACGCTTACACATTCCAAAATTGCTACCTTTTGGTATTAAAACTATAATCTTTAAATAATTGATAAAAGTAGAATAAATTACTTGTTTGAACACAGAATGCTTAAAAATCCAGGTTGAAGTGAGTCATGTTTTTAGTTTGAGAGTGTACATTTGGTCCTGCTGTATAATTCTTCCTCTACATTTGTGCAGAGAAGCAACATTTAATGTTCCCTCGATTGTAATAAATATTTTTTTGTAAAAATTAATGACCGCAATCTGAATATTTCTCTGACCCTATCATACATCAAAATAATATTTTTCTATTTATATTAAAGAACTGAAATCAATGAAAAAGCAGCTTTGTTAATTAATTGTTTTGTAATTTTGATAGTAATACATACTGTAACGCTTTGGTCCATCCTCTAAGCAAAATGTCAATGTGAGTTGAGCATCATCTTCAAAAAATTCCGTTGTGAATGAATCCCACCACAGATTGTCACTGTCCTAAAAGTAGTCACAATATATTAAAAGTTAGCCAAAAGATGTCAAAATGAAAGAGGTAGTAAAAAATAGATTTTAAAATTTTGAAGGTGGCTATAATTCCAATTCTTGTGCATGTACTGATCTTCCATCGAGTGCCTCCCCAGGTGGCAGATAGGGGAAAGCCCACCAGATATTATGGTATCGGGGTAATAAAATACCCAGGGCGGATCAAAATTATAACCTACTTCTTAGTAGGAAGTGGGGGTATCTACAAAGGCTAGGGAACCTTACCAGAAAATTAAGGCAGCTATCTAGATAGCTGTAAGGGCCAGCCCTCCAGATGGTTGTGCACAGAGCTAACAGCCATGCAAAAAAAAAAAATATGAAAGCCAAACATCAAAATAAAACCTGGGCTAATCAAATCAAAATTGATTTATGCCTGGATTTGGACATAATTTTTGGATTGTGACTTAGAACGTACTAAGTCTGTTTACAGCAGGAGCCTTAGCCAACCTAATAGATCAACTAATCATACATATATATAAAAGTGAAAATTTGTCTGTGTGTGAATTTGTTTACGGGGTGTGGTGTTGTTTGAACTTTGAAAAATATTCCATTTTGGACGAGGTCCCAAAGTTTAACATTTTCTTATATAATATAGATATAATTTCAAACATTGGCTACAGCATGGATGGATGGATCTAAACCAAACTTACTATGAAAACTCGTAATATCAACTTCTTAAGGGCTGGTGGGCTAATTTAATTTTTCCTTACATTTTTGGGGGTTTGATCCACTTACATTTTTACACAGACAGATGGATCTTGACCAAACTTGGCACATATCCATAGTTTCCAGAATGAAAAACTGGGGGGTTTTGAACTTTGCAAAATATTCCTTTTGGGGATGGAGGCCCAAAATATTTTTTTCTTATATAAGCCTTATAAATAAAATCACCAACAAATAATCCTACATGAAGGTATGGATATTGACCAAACTTTCTACATATACACTTGATTATCCATATTCAAATACTGAAGGTACTGAACTCATAATATCCACTTCTTTGGGGATGAGGGCCCCATTTCATTTTTCCTTATATAAGATATAAATACCGATAGGCTTAGACAACAAACACCATTCTTAGTCTGTATTGAAATATCAGTGGATTTAAAATTATTAATATTGAATCCATTCAGGGCCAGACTATAATTTTCCATAATGTTCAATAACTTTAAAAAGCTAGATCTATGGCATTTTAAAACCAATTTTAATGGGACAACTTTTAAATTCATTATTCATCTATTTTTTTGGGCCCCCATTTCAGGCATAACTAAAATGGCAACTTATGGAATGGCCCCCCCTCCGAGGGCCCTTCTTTTAACTTAAATGAAAAATAGTTATAGTTATTTAACACGTTTGGAGGAGGTTATTAAATTTAATCTAGAATGTCCCAGAAAGTTTTATATTGTTCCACAGCGATATATTTGAAATTTTGTTTAGCTGTTCTTTTAATTTCTATACTTTCCTGGGGATTTTCTCAGTAACACAGAATCATGTTTTTATAAGTTTCATGAAGTTTCTAGATTATTCTAGAAGCTTTGATTTTTATCTATAATCTTTTTAAGATTATATAAATGCCCTTATTTATTATGTTTCAGAAATTTTCAATAAGTTTTCTCAATGTTATGGAATAAGAATTAAAGATAATTTTGGAATTTTCTATTCCCAATTGATTGTCCATTATTATGGCCTAAGCTAAATAAATAAATGAAGGCTAAGATAACAGTATACATTTCTAAGTATATTTATGGATCAGGCCAAAGATGGTAAACGAACCCTTCATAATTCCACCAGACCACAGGATTTCACAGGGAACGTGATACCAGAGGAACAGGATCATACAGGGCAACGGGATCTAAAAGGAAATTTGATCCCACCTGGTAACAGGATCACAATAGGAATGGGATTTCACGGGGACCAGGATCTCTCTGAGAAATGGGATCCAACAGTGAACTGGATCCCACCTGTTACAGAATCCAACAGTGAACTGGATCCCATCAGGAAACGGGATCTGACCAGTTTCGAGATCTCAGCAGGAATGGGATCTCATCGGCAAAAGAAATGCTGACAGACGTTACGATAAATAAGATACATTAACCATTTTTTTTTACTTTAGTTATGTGTTTTTTACAGGGCCATTCATTTCGATTTTAGCAAAATGGCTGTTTAAGTTTTTCTGATTACCATCCAGGGTACATTGGCAAGATAAATATAAGGTTGCTACAGCTGCATGATATGAAATTCCATGGGAAAATGCAGACAAGCTCTAAACCGAAATACTAAACCATATTTTATAGTGGCAGCAACACTCTTGGAACAGGATAGCTATGAAGTAAGACCACCGGCAGTGCAGTCATAGGTTGAAACCAGAGAATGAAAGATTGTGCTTTTTGCGTGTGCGAGGATAATATAACATTGATAAATGTTCATGCTCCATCCAAAGTTACAGAAGTTCAGCTAAAAGAATCATTTTATGAGACGCTGGAAAAGATCTATGATGAGGCACCACAGCATGATATTAAAATAGTGATTTGCGACTTAAATGCCAAAATAGAGAAAGAAAAAGTATTGGCACGGAGAGGCTACGTAAAGAATCCTATGACAATGGGATCCGACTCACAGACTTTGCTTCAGGTAAAGGATTGCCAGTTAGTATTTCAGACAAAACAGATCAAGGTATGATCAGATTTTCACCATCAGATGCCTTTTAGAGAAATGTTATGAGTATAATATCCCAGTACATGAACTGTTGACTAAAAAATGGCCTATGACAGCAACAAAAGAAAATATCTATATAAGACTATGCAGGAGTTTGGCATACCCAACAAAATGACAAAACTGATCCATATATCAAACAACTCAAAAAGCCCAATCAAGGAAGAATACTCGAGGGAATTTCAGATGAGACGAGGCCTAAGACAAGGAGGCTCACTGTCTTGTATGCTATTTAACCTAGCATTAGAGAGAGTTATTAGAAACATACACATTGACACTTGAGGAACGATAACAGGATAATTTCTGAGGGAAACTCAAGACCCACAACCAACGGGCACACTCTACAACCAACCACTTCAGTATCTTGCATATGCTGATGACATAGCACTGCTAGGGAAAAGTATTTAAGACATATCAAAAGCCTTTACTGAATTAAAAGACACATTACTACAAGCAGGGCTTGAAGTTAACAACCAGTGAACAAAATAGAGAAGAACAGAAAAATAAAACAATTAAAATTAGAAACCATTCTTTTGAAAAAGTAAATCAATTCAAATGCCTAGGATCTTTAATAAATGATAGAAATGAATTACTAACAGAAATAAAAGAAAGAATATTGGCCTGAAAAAGGGAATACTTAAGTAGTCACAAAACATTACAAGAGAATGAAAGAAAAATATATATAATTGTAATCAGAGCAGTTGTAACATAGGCAAGCTCAAAAGGCACTGACTGCATAAACTGCTTGACTGATAAGCATATCTGAGCTAAAATTCAAGACTCTTGCAACACAACAGTTTTTGTTTTGTGTTGGTAATATGAAAACAAATATGAAATGAATCTATAAAATTAAAAACAATATTAAAATGCAAGAACAAAATTAACCAATAAAGGTGTATACACGTAAATATTTATTAAATTTCTTAGCAAGAGCGCAAACTTTTCATTAGTTTATTTAAAAAGATTTTACAATTTTTTGTCTTTATTTTCAAAGTTCTGAATAAGTTTATCAATGTGTCTTGTCATTGTGGTATTTCTAGAACATGTATTTAACTACCACGTAGAGAAAATCATTTCATATATGGAATCAGTATCTTTTTCTTGTGAGGAAACGATCAGTTTGAGTAAATACACTTTGGTGAGTGTCTATAAAAAACCTCTGTAATCAGAGTTTCATATTTGGACACATAAATTGAGAACTTGACAGTGAAGTTCCAGAAGTGGACACCTGAGGTGGGTGATAAAGATGATTGACTTTTCTTAAATATTTTCACTTCCAGATGTCACATGAGGACTGTCCTGCAAATATGCTTGATATCAATAAATCTAATAGAGTTTAGCAGTGATGACTTGGTCAACCTTGGTTGCTCTCCTAACCATCATCAGTCTTTAAAAATTTAAAGGTGCTGTTGTTGGGCATTATTTTATTAACCCTAGACCCTGAATAAAGAAACATAAACGAATTAATATATTACTAATCATATATGGACGACAGTGGATCATAAATCATACAGACTATTATAGATTACTATTTATACCAGAATTAATATGGTAGAGATTAGAGCTACTAAAACAGGCCTATGTAGTGACAGAGAACTGAGCCAAAGAAATGCGAAAGAAGAGGTACCAAGAACATTTTGAATAATGAAAATTGGAATGGTGGCATTTAATGTTAATTTTGCACTATTATTAGTGAGCTATGAAAAAATAATTTAATAAAATAAATTAGGCCTTTAACTCTTTACTTTCTTTTAATGGCCAGATGTTATATGGTAGATTTTTAAAAAGGGTCTATTACTAAGTTAAAAACTGCAGTCGCGTATCATGTGTTAAAGTTAAATTTAAAAATAAAATTCTTCTACTTTGATCATAATCATTGCATGGGGTAGAACTACGACTCATACCGTTAGCTTCTATTAATAGTATTATCCGAATTAGTATTTTTATAATCATTAGTCATACCATAAAAAAGTAGGCTAAGGCTAAGCTTAGGGATTTAGTGAAATGTTAGTCTAAGACTTAGTAATACATAATAGACTAAATCATTTTAATTTTATTTTTAGTCATTGGACACATAGCTGACATAGATTTCTTCTATTTAGAATGGCTATAAAAAAATTAATAGCTAGAATGGCTATATAAAAATTAATAGCTGAAAAAAAACTACATTAAAATAATTAATGACTTTAATAAAATAATTGTGCACATTACTTACCCCTAAATATCTTGATAGGTGAGCTGAACAGAAACAAACTTCCAAGGCAAAATGGTCTGATTTATTTTTTTAATACGAAAAAATTCTAAACTTGGAAAGTGCATGCACAATCAAGGGGAAACCACCTAGTCATTGAGATCAAATCCAATGGATAAGCAACATTATGACTAAGAATAGACGACACTTTAGCAGTTAAGTATTACAAATGCATCCTCTAAAAAAATTATTCTGGTTGATTCATTGGGATCGAGACGACAAAGTCCAATCACTGTTATTCTTATTTGATTGCTTACGGTGTAAACAAAAAAAAAAAGGTTACTTTTTAGAAAATACCCAAAATATTTATTTCTTAATTAAAAATAAACCAAACAAAAAAACAACTTTTTGGCTTTTCGTAGTGCCGTAGTATAAGGCTTAAAAATGTAGTTACTATGGCGAAAGCGTAGGGATAAATAGGTTTTTTATAGCATTAAAAAAAAATAATGTATTCTTGCAATACAGCATGTGGCCTGTGTAATACCCAGTGTGGCAAACTCATGGTGTCCCCCTTTCCAAACTTCTTCATGGACCTCAAGGTGTTCAAAACCAAAATGTGCGTATAAATAATTTCCCAAGATGCTAGCAGCCCAAGGTGGTTAATGAGCTAATGCTAAAAATAAACCTTTAAATTTTTTACTAGTTACTAGCTTACTTCCGTTCGGTGCTGCAGTCGTTTGTTTAGCTCATAAATCCTGTAGTCTGGTTGACCCATGTAAGGAGTAGGTCTCCTGGAAAGGGAATATAAATTGATTTTTAGTAAGCAGTAGTGCCATACTGCTTTAAGTTGGTGGTTAGCGACTAATAGTATGACCTCATAGATACAGTGGGTGGGACCTTGCTGGTTGGGACAAGGGCCAAGAGGCAAGGATTGAAGTGTCTTAAAAGTTTAACCATTTTAAATTTTAGAATTCTTTTAAAAATATTTTTATATTACATATAATTTTATTTATTTATATTACTCCAAATATATAAAAGTTATAGGAGAAAAATTAGTTTGCTTAAAACTACCGTATATACTCGCATATAAGCCTACATCGCATATAAGCCGACCCCTTAAAACTGATTTAAAATGGCCAGTTTTTGCAAAAACCCGCCTATAAACCGACCATACCATTGTCTAATTCGACTTCATATTTTTGGTTCATAGAAATTTGTTAATGTAAAGATGTAAAATGCTTACTTTTATGTTACATGCCAGTTTGTTTACCTTTGGAATGGCACAAAAACATGTTCTGCTCAGTATAATTATCAGCTATGCATACATTTAATTCTTTGAAGTGACACCTCTGTATATATATAATAGTACTCTGTACACACAACCAAATAAAGTCAGACAGCGATGAAAATGTGTGGATGGAAAATTGGCATTAGTGTCTGTCATTGTGTCCATTTTGTTTTATGCGCATATAAGCTGACCCCTTATTTCAGTATTGTATTTTATAGTTCTAAATTCACTTTATACGCGAGTATTTACGGTAGTTTCTTAGGTTAAATTCATATATGCTAATTGATACAGTGTACCCTAACATTATTTAGTTGCTTTTTTTAAAAACATTTTCCCCATTTACATACTTTTTGTGTGATGTGTACAGGTTTTCACTGGATGTTAAAAAAAATAATAATTTGCACACACGCCAAGATCAGAAACGTTGTTTGATTCTTATAAGAAATTCAGTGTTGCTTAAATGTTAGTTTCAGTGCAACTTAAATCCTAATTGTCAACTCAGAGTGACCTTTTAGAGCAGTGCGCTATAAATCTATATGCTTTGAATCTAAATTACTTACGGTATCATATGATCTCTATCCATGAACATAGGCATGGGGCCTGGCATTGGTCCTGGCATAGGCCCTGACATTGGACCAGACATAGGGCCTGACATAGGTCCAGGCATTGGGCCTGCCATTGACATGGGACCAGACATGGACATTGGACCTGACATTGGACCTGGCATAGGACCAGACATTGACATTGGACCTGCCATAGGGCCAGACATCATAGGTTCCCTTGGACCTGGCATCATGGGCTCTCTTTCCATAGGGGCAGGCATGATTGTAGGTCTGGACATGAATTAAATGAGTATTTTGTCAAACAGTGCTTCAAAGCTGCCTGGAAAGAATGTACAGATGTTTTTTTTTAAATTTGCATGATATAAAATAATTAATGGCATGGTAATTATTAATTTTTTTTTATAACCACATAACTTAGTATGGGACTGCATAAGTTGTATTATTTTCTTTATAGTAATGATTTTTTTTTTAATTTAAAAAACAACACATTCATTATAGAAATGATAGAGAAGAAGAAGCTAACATTTGTTAAACAACATGATAGGGAAATACAGTAATCTAACAATAGTTTTAATTAAAAATTAGAAAGTAACGGTAAATTAAATGCATTTATATAGTAATTAAAACTAGTAAAATTTTGTTTCAATAAATCTAAATTAATTTTTTTTTTATGACTGTGCCTGTAAAAAGCTTCTTTCAATATTTCTAAATGCATCAAATAAATTTTTTGGAAAAATCTGCATTCTACATAACTATTGGAGGTGGTTAATTTTTCTATTTGTGTGAAATTTGTTCCTTCGTGGATTACTTTATAAGCTATAAATCATACACTGAATCACCTATCTTCACAAATGATTTTTTATTAGTTCTCAAAAGCATTCCTTTAAGTGATAAGATTCTCCAGTATTTAGTAGCTGGCTAAATGTTCTTTTTGATGCTGTCATAGGCAGCATCAAAATAAACTATTTATATGAGACTCTGCAGGAGTTTGGGATACCCAACAAACCGACAAGACTAATACATGTAACACTAAACAACTCAAAAAAGCAAAATCAAGATTCAAGGAGAATATTCAGGAGAATTTCATATTAGGCGAGGCCTAAGACAGGGAGACTCACTGTCTTGTATGCTCTTTAACCTAACATTAGAGAGAGTTATTAGAAACATACACATTGACACTCGAGGAATGATAACAGGATACTTTCTGAGGGAAACTCAAGACCCACAACCAACGGGCACACTCTACAACCAACCACTTCAGTATCTTGCATATGCTGATGACATAGCATTTCTAGGGAAAAGTATTAAAGTCATATCAAAATCCTTTATTGAATTAGAAGACGCATCTCTACAAGCAGGGCTGGAAGTTAACAACCAAAAAACAAAATACATGACCGTGATAAGAGAGGAACAAACAGATGAAACAATTAAAATTAGAAACCAAACTTTTGAAAAAGTAAATCAATTCAAATACCTAGGATCCTTGTTAAATGAAAGAAACGAATTACTAACAGAAATAAAAGAAAGAATATCAGCCGGAAACAGGGCATACTTCAGTAGTCAGAAAATACTCAAAAGTAAAAACATTACAAGAGAAACAAAGAAAACTATTTATAAAACTGTGATCAGACCAGTTGTAACATATGCAAGTGAAACTTGGACCCTAACAAAATTAAACACATGGGAGAGGAAAGTTCTCAGGAAAATATATGGGCCAACAAAGGATGAATATGGATGGAGAATACGAACCAACCAGGAATTATACAGTCTATATCAGGATCCCACGATAGTGGCAGAAATGAAAAGAGGCAGGCTACGCTGGGCAGGACACCTAGAGGGAATGCCAAATGACAGAGAACTAAGAGGGTGCATCACCAATACCCCAGAGAAAAAATGCTTAAAGGCAGAGCTAGGCTTAGGTGGATAGTTGATGAAGAAAATGATCTACAGCAGCTGAAAGTCCAAGCATGGAAAAGAAAGGCATTAGTTAGGTCTGAGTGGAAGGAAGTGATGAGGCAGGCCAAAGCCATACATGGGCTGTAGCGCCACAGGGATGGACTTAAATGTACTTCGTTATTAAAAATGTTTAAAAGAAAATATTATGTTTAAGATGAAGTTTAAGATGTATGCTCAAATCAAAATTGGTCACATGAAAGCTCAAAGCCTATTAGACCCAGGTTTGGCAAACTTTCTATGACAAGGGAAGTTAAGAAGATCTCATGGGCCAGATAGATTTGTCTCAAAATCAAGGTGGCCTATAGATATGATCTAAATATCTAAAAAAGTATATTTATTACATGTAAGACACACTTTATTTCCATGTTAAAATCTAATATTATATAAAGAAACAAACTAGTGCTCTTTTGACATGGACTACATTAATTTAAGTAAGATTTCAAATTAACAACAGAGAAGAAAACATTTAATTCTACAATCATCTTTTTTCCCCCATATCAGTGAAAAGCATAAAAAGTTCTATGGTACAGGATATTTCAACCCTGTTTTGTATTATGCAATGAAGAAACATTGAATAACTTAACCTTTTCTTTTTAACACTTTCAGTTGGGAGATAATTCACTTTTTCCTATCCAAATTGTACAGAGCAATTCATTTATCTACCTCATTGAAAATTTCCTTCCTTTGTCGCATTGTGGGAATCTTTCACAAAATGCTAAGCACTATGAGAACTAGTGAAGTAGCCTTTAGAAAGTTTTATTCAGTAATTAATTACCACTACTTATGTATTAATCTAAAGAAATTAAAGTAGCTTAAATATTTTAATTTCTATTCAATATTTGAAAATTCGTTATAAGCCAAGCCATATTGTAAACACTAGCATGATGCTACTAAATACCAGTGAGCATCTTTTAATTTATAAATTATTTTTACTCATAAACACATTTGATCTTTTAATTGGTGCAGTTATACTTGCTAATAAGGAGGTTGACAACCGAGATATTTTATGCATAATATTCTTTTACTCCTATTATTCTTTCCTACTAGAAGGATTGAATTTAAAATTGGTTAATTAAACTTAAGACAGAAAGATTTAAACTATCATTGTGGGAAGTTCTTAACTGACAGGATCACAAATTCTCTGGGGTAATTAGGGTATCAAACTTGGGAAATCACATAACTTTGTTAAATTTGTAACTGCAGACTGAACTTACATTTTGCATCTCAATCTCTAATTTTCCTTGCCCTAAATATATAATACTTTTTTTTACAAGTTTTTAATTTAAATTCATTGATCTTTAGTAGAACTAGTGTAGGAGGTAAGATAGAAAGAGCATGGATGGTAAAAGGGTAACAGGTAAGTAAAAATCCTATCCTTGTGTTAAAAGATATAGACCAGCCCAAACTGAATGGCAAGATGTACTCTGAAATACAAAACAAAAACATTGTGCAGTGTTCAAATAATAGTAACATTACATAGTGCGCTGTGACATTTCACCACTTGAGAAATGGATAACTCCATTAGATCTAATAACTTACACCTGATAAGTCAGATTAGCTGATTCATAGTGAAAAAAAAAAAAAAGGCGAATGCCAAGCTAGTCCCAAACACCACATTAAAGTAGAGATTTTCTGCTAATAAATTGGTACAATCCTACTTGTAGTATCATTACTAGAACTACAATTTATTTATCAACTGCCACATTCCCCACCAATCATTACACATGTACTGATGTAACGGTACTATGCAGTGACAAGTAGTTAAGTATGAATCAGTCATCAGCTAGATCCACTATGACTTGGACTAGCTATTACTAACAACTAAAATGTTAAAAGTAGACCTAAGCTTTATATAAGTATTTAATTATTGTTAAGCTTTGTTAGTACAGTTAAACTTGTGAATAGCGAACCATAAAATAGCGCTGCCCTTGGCAAATGCTCTAAGAATTGGCAAAGATAGATTTTTAAAACAAAAACCACTGGAAATAGCAGAAACACAATAAAATGAGAAATGCGCAATGGTTCCTGAGGGACAAAATCTTTTTTTTTTCCTGCGAAAAGTACATGCCATGACCTAATGGTGCCAATTATGCCATGCACAGGTTATATAAAGCTCTTTTACTTCAATAATCAGACTGCTGCTGAGCTGTCTATCTAAATCAGGATAAAACCTTTTGACAGAAGATTTGCTATAAACTAAGGATTGTGAATTCATCTTGGGAATCATGTACACATTTTGCCAACACATGGCCACATAGTGAAAGCAAGACAATCAAAATGACAGCAATACTAATGTATATATATTTTATTTTTTAATGTTCATTGTTCATAACTTTTGATGTAAATTAGACCTGGTTATCCTGGAACTCTCAAAATAGTATAAAACCGTCTCATAATAGTAAAATATTGCAAACGGAATTGTACACTTGATTTTTAAAGCAGGCACATTTAATTAATTTTGAGTTGCTAATGGGTAGACTGCTCTATATTCTTTTTGTTGATGAATACGACAATCTCTCCCTCATAAACTGTCTTCGCCACTGAAGTTCTGAAATAAAGAATAAAATATTCTATTGTACCTGAAAGAAGCCTTGAAATAACATGTAATCAATTTCTAGTTTATTTTTAATACTATGCAAGGTTTGTGTTTATTAAAATTTCTATATTTTTTATGTTATTTGAAATGTAAACTGTTTTCTATGTCCTAATAAAAAAAATATGATTACTATGATGGTGTTGAGTCTTATTTATTAGTTTTCAAAGTCTTTTAATAAAAATCGTATAGGCTAATTTATATATCACCTAATTTTAAACAAGTCATAAACTGTTATGTAAATAATTTTACAATTATTTTGATTCTAATTATATAATATGAACTAATGCCTATATAATAACACTAGACTCTAAGTAAGAGCAAGGCTCAATTTACATGATCAAATTCCTTTCAAATTTTCATTCATGCATTTGATGTGATTTTTGTATGAAGCCTTGTCACAATTTTCAAATTACTATTTGATCAAATTCTCATTTTTGTCTAAAAAAAAATAGTGCATTCACATACAAAATTTAAACAAATTTGAAGCTAATTTGAAAGGTATGTGACAGTGGAAAAACAGTAAGTAGTCTAAGTATTAGTATATTTCATTAACTTAATATATAATTAACAATTATAATTAAATACCTTATAAAATTAAAAAAATACTCATTTGTATTAGGCCTCTTCTTTTCAAGTTAAGTTTTCCTTTTTGTTGTTTTTTTAATTTTGTAAAATTATTAATTTTAAACTCTTATTCAGATGTATATGTATTCAACAATAAAAAATCACTTCATAATTGACAATGATAACAGGCATTTCCAGCATCCCACTTGATAAAAATTAATTGTTAAATTGGGGACAATTTCATACCTTTCCCCACCCCAGCGGAAAGCATAACTTTTCATTGAATTGATCGTTTTTAATAAATTAAATATCTTCAAACTCCGAATGGATGCAATTACCCAATAACTAAGCCTTATTTTTAGGGAATACCTAACAAAAAATATTTATGTGATCTATGCTTACCGAATCATTATGATAATCCTGTCTGTGTGACACACCACAAAACTTGTAGCATAAATTTCATAGAATCACAAAAAACTGATGTTTCACTAACGAGGAAAGCATTTTTTAATGGAAAAATGTAACATAATGTACAATTTTCTGAAATAAAGCATAGCCGTAGATATCTTGGAGAAAAGTTTTGCGCCATTTTTCGACCTGCACGTATTGAAGCACAAATGAATATCAAAGTAGATAGAATAAGTTAAATAGTATTACGAAAATGTTACTTTTCCTTTAAAAATTGTATTCCCAATAGCTATACTATATTCATATTGGCGTACAATCATAACAGAAATTGGAAAATTGCACTTTGTACGCCAAAATTGGAAAAGTAAAAGAAACCAGGCCTGGTAAATGAACTGCATGAAGAATGTTTATCAAAAATGAATATTGCTTAGTTTCATAATTTGAAGAATGTATGCTTGACGTTTTCCACAGGAATGAGTGAGTTCCCTTTTTTTTATTACTAGTTAATTATTAACAGAATTAACTTTTCTTTTTTTAAAATATTAATTCGCTGATTTAAATTTTAAAATAAAACATCCAATGAAATATTAATTGAAAATAGTTTTATTTTAAAATTTAAAACGAGGTTAAAAACAAAGCTAACTTTCGTAGCACAGATGCTTTAGCTAAGGGAAGGAAGTGACAACAGGTCATTGACACTTCTTGCCACATATCTAGAGCAATACAATAAAATTGCTACGTTCACCACGAAATAGTGTAAACTGCAATTAACGGTTTAAAAAAGTATACTATGAAACTGTAAGTTGGATTTCATTATATTAAAGTGTTTTAGTTGAAGGAAGGCAGTGACCGCAGGTTGTTGAACCTTTTGTTGCATATCTTAAAATATCTAGAGGGATACAATTAAGATGCTACGTTCGCCACGAAATTAATGTACCAGCTCTCTCTCGTCCCATTTTAGCAGACATGCTTTGCACTACCCTATTTTTTTTTTAAACAGTCACCATCTTTGTTGCTATGACACATCATGGCAACAAAGATGGCAGCTATAGAAAAAAAAGCAGTGCAAATATACAGTAGAATCGGAGAGAAACATCAATCGTACATTGACCTATAATTGTTCTGTGGCATTACATTACATTATAGTTACAATATAGGCCTAAATGATAAATGTATGCACTGCAGGCAGTTCAGTAAGCCTATGCTTATACATAAGTGTTTTCTCATTAATTCATATTTTTAAAGTGCATTTGCCTTATGCTTTCAAATTAATGTGATTTTTGTGGATAAGGAGTAGCATCATTCAGTGCAAATAGCACCATCCCTGCTAATAACACCACTTTTGCTTTGGCCCCAAGAGTGGGTGTGCATGGTATTTACAGCACAGATTTCACCCTCTAAACTAAGTACAGTTACAAGCCTACCACTTGTACTTGTAGTTGTAGCCTTAAGTGTATGAAAAACTATGACCGAATGATTGTGAACTGAAGCTGAACTGCACTGGCATTCAATCATTGGCTTTTACTGTTGTACTATCATAAGCATATATAATATTATCTATCCAGTCCTAGTAGTATAATAAAATCATGTAATCAATCACTGTCACTAGTATCTCAGCTTTAAAAACGTATAACTTTCTAATTTATAACTATAACTATATAAAATAATTGATAAAAATGTTAATAAAAATTAGACAGCAGTAGGTAGTAGAGTAGATGTACAGTCAGACAGGAGTAGAAACTGTTAATGTTAGAATTAGCACCAGCTTCTTACTCTTTGAAACTCTTTCTACTTCATTTCTATTTCTAGTCTCTGAAATTTAAGTCATAAGTCAAAGTTGACTTAAATTTTCTTTACTTTGGATAGCCAACAAATAAGTATTTTTTAAGATTTACCTTCACTAAAGGAAAGTATACCTAGTTGGTTGTGCGCTCTTATCAATAATTCTGTTAATCCAATCGATCATAAAACAAACACTGTTATAAATATATTTATTATACATATATATCACACAACCAAATATTTTCGGTGTGCCAATAATTATAAATTATATGGCTTATATTGTTGTATGGTGTCTCTGCCTGTTGTTTTCTCATAAATTTATTAATGATGGCCAGAAATTCGTCATTTAAAACGGCCAAAATATATAGTTAAATAGCGCTCAAAGCATTTCCAAAAAAAGGATTTACATAATGTATCATTATTTTACAAATATTTATAAAAATTATTTATTTTAAATAAAAAAGTACATTAAATTTTTGACTTGATTCATAATTTAAGTTACTTGTAACAAGAGCCATTTTGGCAGGAATGTTTGTAAGGGGACACAAAGCTAATAACGAAAGCAGTTACATATTTATAATTTACTTCCCATGATTTACTCCTCAGCCATTGGTATCCGACCTGGGATTTGCGACCTTTGAAAGGACCGAGAGTGCTTACTTAAAATTATAAGGTGGTTTTTACTGGTATTAATATTAGCGGCAAAACATGAAATACACCTACTATTTTTTAAAATATTTTTTTACCCTACTGAGTATTGACATTAACTAAGCGCTTAATACAACCCATAGATAATAGTTTTTTTTGTTGTTGTTTTTTTTTAATGTGCACCCTCACTCAGAGTCATGTACTTGTATCATTTGTATGAACGAAGTGAAACCCTCGCATAAATGAATATTAATAATATTATTTAATAATAAACAACAAAGGCAATGGCATTTTTAAGTTTGAATTGGATATTATCACTTTGCAGGATTCTAGTATTTCAACTTCAACTTACTTATTGCCAGGAAAAATTTAGACAGACAAGAAAAAGATCGGACAAGTTGGGAAAAAAGAAAAAACAACACAATAAACTCCTATCTTCATTTCAGCGAACTTTTTTTTTTACATAAAAGAGAGTAAAACTAGTAAAAGAAAGGTAGCTAAAAAGAAGTGCGCACTTAAAAATTGAACATGACAATATGCACACCAAATTGTATTTGAGGCCACAACGGTAATATTGAGCTAACCAGGACTTAGCCAGGTACAGTTGTTTTTGTTTTTTTTTTTACACCGGGACCGGGGATTTTCAAAAAAATACCTGGTGGCTCCAAGTGTTCCAAAAAAAGTTAACTTCCCATTTTCTATTAGATTAATATATGCCGGTTTTTGAACTATAATCCTACAGACAGGTCTACACCATACCCGTGGCTCTTTATTGACTAATATAATAGACGTCTCCGAAAAAATTCAAACTTCTTACATGAGTTCAACCAACCCGCTCGTTGCTTTACAACTCCCCCCCCCCTCCACTCAGCACTATTAATATTAAACATGTTGAGTTGGGGTGGGGGCGGTTGTGAAAAGGAATCAGCTACACCAGAAGCAAAGACATATCAGAGATATGCCAAAGACGTAAAATGTTCATCTTTCATAACTAAATTACTGCGAAATTTTAAACCATGTTGACAGAATATTTATATTTTTGTGGTGGTTTTATTATACAAATACATAAGAAACTTAACACTAAACACCCTTGAAAATGTTATGACGAGCACTGTATTATGTTATTCAATATATAACATTTTTAATGAAAATTGATCGCTTCAATAGGGAATTTGCCCTCCCATAAAAGATTTATTCGTCAAATGCGTCAAAGGGTAGCAAGCATTAGCAGAAGCAGCTTAGATAAGAATTATTTTTTCAACTTCTCCTTTGGCGTGCATGCCCCAATTCCTGTTAAAAGATGGACAATAAGAAGTTCAAAAAATCTCTCCCAAGCTCTCTGATGCCCGCTGTCCCATCGATATTTTGTTCGCCGTTTGATCTCCTTGATGTAACCGTTTGTCATGCACCTCAGGTGCTTTTCATGAATGTTCATATCCCTGTGAATCCCGCCCTCGTCGGCTACGATCAAGGCAAAGGCCTCGAGGTTGTTGAGCCGCAGCACGCACTTATCCAAGACACTGGCCACTTTAAGAGCGTGGTCTTTCAACACGGCGCTCTCGGGTAAGTCTTTCATTTTGTGATCTCTAAGTTCCGTGAAGACCTTTTTGGTCTCCGGGTAGTTTTTAAACATAGCCATTATGGCGTCAGTTCCGATGTCGTCCGGTGTAACGCTATTCCTCAGGCTCAGCCAGTCATTGTGGACGATAATTTTATCCTTGGCTGTGAGACACATATCTGGCTCAGAGCGCCGACAGCACCGAAACATTGCGTTTGCCAAATTTATTCTGGCCTGGTTTGAGTAAACGTGTCTATCGATGGCCGAACGTGAAGAAGCTGTTAAATATTTGACCATTGTACATGGCTGGTCTCCCACTTTAAAACTGTTGTTGAAATACAATCTAATTAAAGCCAAGTTTGGTATTTTGTGGGATAGGAAATTCGCGTTTAAGTTGCACCTATGTAACATCGGGTAACTTCATCATGTGCACCTAAAGATTCACTTAGCCCTTTAATGGCTTCTCCTCTTCTTGATTACCAAGTTTTTTTGCTGGTTAATTCCAATGACTAAAGGCTGTTGCGATCCAAAAAAAACAACAAAAAACAACTGCAGATGATTTCTTACTGTTAAATGTATGTCAAGTTTAATTAAAGTAAAGTACCAAGGGAGATCTTTGTAACTCCATACTTGTAAAAACAATTGGTTCATGTGTGGTGCAGTAATGCGTAGCAGGATTTTCCCGAAAGTATCGACTTTGTTCTGTAGTTTTAACGACCTTCTTTCAAATAAATGGTCTTCACGTGCGCCTACATGATTTATTTATTTCATCTTTTTTTGTGTTGGTTGGGACGGGAATTGTTATTAGCAACTAAGTTCATTTTTAGTTGTGTTGATTTAGCATTTGTTTCTCAGAACTAGTTAGCAATTTAGTCATTTCAGAATGGGTGTGTGTGTGGGGGGGGGGGTGTCCGGAAATTAGAAAAAAATGATTTTACCATCCAAATCAGCCAGTATATCGCAAAACAGACAATTAATTTCTTTGATGACCTGGTCAGAGTGCCAGTCACTCAACAGAGGTCATCAGCATGCGTCATACCCTGCGGCAGATTGCCAACTATATCTCCCTGCGACGCCTCCATGGAACAAGCGGACCGAAGAAAAATAATTATCATTTCAGTGGTTTTGAGAGTACTCGATGGAAAACCCCTCACACAACGCGCATATTGAGATTATGTGTGTGTGTGTGTGTGATTATTTGGCAGGAAAGAATAGCACGGGATTCGTGACGTCATGACCCCCAGATGAAGTCCACCACGGGCTGTTGTCAAGTCATGATAAAGGAGATGGGTTGTTCGTGTGGTGTGCGTGGGACCAGCGCCGCTATCTTCCACAACATTTTGGTTTCAAAAACAATATCAATTGAAAATGCAAAAATGATTGGCACCTTGAGAGAATCATAAACAATTTGTGAAAATAATTTGTAAAAAAAATTGCATTATCGCAGTCCAACCCTCTTATCATGAGTGAAGCAGGGCAGGTTACTGGCCTACTGGGCACAGTGGACACAAGGATTTCTTCAATTCGAGAGCAGAGTTACTGACGTCAATAGTAATAGCCTAGAGCTGGATGGGGATTATTCGCATATGGAATCAGGCTGGAACGCTGCCAAACTTCATCAGACTGGAAATCTAGGCATTGTGCATCAGACTGGAAGGATGTGCATAGTAAATCAAACTGGAAAGCTATACAAAATGAATCGAACTGGAAAACTATGCATAGAGCACCAGACTGGAAAGCTGTACATAGCGCATCCGACTGGAACTTCGCCGCTACAAAACTGAGTGACATGAGTGAACCAGTTGCAAGATGGACTGAAAGTGGAAGGCAAACGCTGCATTCATGCAGGTTGTCATCATCTAGTCAAGAACACAAGACATAAACCACCAGGAAAGGAGAGGGGGGGGGCGCTCATCATCATCAGGAATAAAACAAAAAGGACCCTAAGGTGACAACCAGTAAACAATCAATTCTGTTATGCTAGGATGAGTTTCAATTTCTCAATATTTGTTGTTAGACTGACACATACGTAGGAACCAGGCGATGAAGTAAGACTGACACAATTTACAGTTGTTTACAAGCGACGTTAGTAGACATCTCAAATGATCACGCGCTAATCTTAATTGGCGACTTCTATACCAGAGTTGGACGCGAGAATGAAAACAGAGAAATAACTCTTGGAAAGCACTGCCTAGAATATAAGAACAACAGTGGGGAGAGACTGACCATCCCTCTAAACATAAGAACCTTGCATTCGGAGGCATCGGTTTCATTCCTGTAATGCGTCATGCTGAAATCGGTAGTGACCCCAACCTTTTAGTGGCTAAGCTAAATCTTAAACATATGAGCAAGGAAGGAAAGGATCAGTGACAGCAATCAGTATGTCCTGGGCAAGTATGTACAATGAGTATAATCTTCTGTTCCGGACAGCTTTTACAGTCAAGGGAAAACGAAACCGTGAAATACCCACAGAGAATTAGCGCATAACTATAGGAATTTGACACGTTTACAACAGGCCACCCACCGTTTGAATTGTTCCCCGACCTTGGGAGTCTGGGGAGAGAGGAAGAAGAAGATCTATCACATAGGCTTTTTTTTCTGTCTGTTAGTTAGTTTGTGGTGGACTCATGCATCTCAATTTCGACCTACTTCCTGATGTGCAGTTGAGCTAAAACGTTGTGCACATACCCATCCCCGGTGACAATACAACATTTTATGATCAGCAGGCCACCAGTTGCCTCCAATGACCCCTTGAGTGACTTACGTGGATGTCTCAGGAACTGAAAGTTATAGGGACATCGGGTTTTCACTACAGCGTTTCAATTATTTATGGTTACTCGTTCTCGATAACACTCAACGATGAAAACTTGTTTGTTCACCACAAACAGGTCACAACTGACCTTTCAAAAGTTTGTATTTCATGAGTGCCCCACGCTTTTTAGCCATGTATTTCAAGTCCCTTCCTTTATCTCCTATTGCAACTTCCAAGACGAAAAACTACAAGATAGAAGAATACAAAAATACTTTTAATATTGAACAACGCTAAGAACAAAGTTTCTCGTTTAAATCCATTGTAAAATGTAATATCGAACAATAGGGGGCGGGGCTAAAATGTGACAATACATGCATACAAGTATAGCACTTTATAATAATCCCAAGTATTGTGCCCCCCCCCCCAACCCAAAGGGCGCTCTAACCACGCATTTTTATTTCATCAACCAAAAGAAAAAAAAAAGAATCTTATTTAGCGCACATATCGGGAATGACATTTCATCCTCCCCTTGAAAAACATGGGGAAAAAAAGGGATTTTTGGGGTGCGGATGGAAGTTGAATAGAATGTGTTCTCATCGTCAATGAGTTTATGTGCCAAGTGTCAGTTCGATAGTTTGGCCGGACATGGGTCAATTAGCTGTCCTAAGATGTATGTCGACCGGCCAGTCAGGATAATAAAAAATGAAGTTTCTAGAGCCCTCGTATAGTGGATAAAACAACAACTAATAACCATAAGCTCATGTTTGATGTTCATGCCGTGAAAGCGTAGGTTTAAAAATCTCTAGGATATACACGGGCTTAGAGCGCAGGGGCATGGAGGCATAACGAATGCAATTCTTCTGACCAGCTTATCTTTATTTTTTTAATTTTTTTAAAATTGTTAAATAGTTCATGTATATTAAAATATACCTTATATAAATCATTGGGCCAGTCACAAAATTTATTTTAAACAAATATTTAAACTTTAAACCATGTGCCAGAAATCTGAAACACGGTCACTACGGTGAAAGATGTGATACTTCCCACCCCCCCCCCCCCCCCACACGGGTGGGGTGACACACAGCGTGCCAACTCGATTGAATAAAATGTTCGTACACATTCTCTACAAAATTGTATTTATTATTTCTGGGTGGGATTTGATTAAGTTTTGTAAGAAAGTACCTGTACATATTATAGGGAAGTACCTGTACATATTAAAAAAGACATCATTTTAAATGGAGAGGTGACGGTGACAAGAGATGGAGAAAAAATTGATTGAGACAGAGCGTTGGGTTTAAAGTGATTGGGGAAAAGTGAAGAAGGGGACAAAGTGATTGGGCAAGACATGGAGACAAAGTGGGCCATTGAACATCAGATTAAAAATAAAACAACATCACTTTTCTAATGATGCCAGTCGCCAAATCTAAGGAAAGGTTAACTCAAGCACAAAGTGACAATATGACATTTAGAGGAAAGGTTAACCCGAGCACAAAGTGACAAATATGACATTTAGAGGAAAGGTTAACTCGAGCACAAAGTGACAATATGACATTAAGAGGAAAGGTTAACTCGAGCACAAAGTGACAAATATTACATTTAGAGGAAAGGTTAACCCGAGCACAAAGTGACATATGACATTTAGAGGAAAGGTTAACTCGAGCACAAAGTGACAATATGACATTAAGAGGAAAGGTTAACTCAAGCACAAAGTGACAATATGACATTTAGAGGAAAGGTTAACCCGAGCACAAAGTGACAAATATGACATTTAGAGGAAAGGTTAACTCGAGCACAAAGTGACAATATGACATTAAGAGGAAAGGTTAACTCGAGCACAAAGTGACAAATATTACATTTAGAGGAAAGGTTAACCCGAGCACAACGTGACATATGACATTTAGAGGAAAGGTTAACCCGAGCACAAAGTGACATATGACATTTAGAGGAAAGGTTAACCCGAGCACAACGTGACAAAGGACATTAAGAGGAAAGGTTCACTCGAGCACAAAGTGACATAGGAAATTAAGGGGAAAGGTTCACTCGAGCACAACGTGACATAGGACATTAAGGGGAAAGGTTCACTCGAGCACAAAGTGACATAGGACATTAAGGGGAAAGGTTCACTCGAGCACAAATGAACAGATATGACATTTAGAGATATTTGTGAGAGGGGCCCCAACATTTCTTCTGCCCAGGGGGTCTCACTAGGATTTATTATGGCCCTGTAGAGACGAGCCTAGTTCTAAGCGTTGGCTTTTTAAAATTATTTTTTTGTTGCCATTCCCACCAGTTTTTTCTTCATTTTAAGTCTACACGTTTAAAACAAGCTTAAAAAAAATGTTTGACATTAAATGCTTACGGACATTAACGGACAAGTCATTCTACGTCATAGATTTTACGGACGGTTGAGACCCATGGTGATACC